GAGTCAAGTGGTTGTTGATTTTAAAAAATAAAAAAATAAAAAAAAAAAATAAGTAAAGTCTACACTGATCCCCACCCAAAATTAATACTTTCCTTTGCCCCCCCTATTTAAATGTGAAATGTGATCCAAGAACTCATTATAGTAATGATTTTCAAATATAGACTGATTCAATAATATAGTTCAATGCATGCTCTCCTTTTGGGACCATAGACCCTATTTAGGCTTTTTGCAAAAACTAGCTTAAAATCCTTCATATAGGATAAATTTTTAGTTGGTTATAATAATTCTTTAATCAAGATTCTAGGCAACATTTTCACTCTATTATGATGTTTTATTTAAGAAAGAAAAAATGAATAAAAAAGCAACTCCTGTAAAAAGATTTGTGCAGCTTATCTAGAGAAGGAATTGTAAATGATTGAACATGTCCAAAGTGAATGGACAAAGTGAGGTTGGTTGTGATCAAATGAAGACATAACTTGAGAATTGTCAACTTTATACAATGTGAGACTCAACATGATTAATATATGTAAATCAAGTAATAGAAGTCATTTGTATAAGATTGTTTATGTTAATCACATGCTTGTCTTCTACATAAAGCAGAGAGATTGAAATCATAACTTGACCCTATTTCCTTTTGTAAATATCATGAAAATGTGCCAATTTTGAAATAAATTATGACGGGTGATGAAAAGTAGATACTTTACAACAATGTGAACTGTTAATGATCACGGGGCAAATGACATGAAACACCATTACTTGTACCAAAGGCTTGCCTTCACTTATAGGTGGTTTTTGTGGGATTGGAAGTTGGTTGTCTATTATGAGCTTATTTGGGGGAACAAATGATTGATTTGAACAAGGCCTACACCAATTTGAAGGCAGCCTTTAAGAAAGAGCCTTTGAAAATTAAGAAAAATGAAGATGTAATAGTTCATCAGGATATCACTAAACTGCTTGATTTTTTTTTTATCAACTATATAAAAATTGTTATAATTTGACTAGGAATATGCTGTATATAGCAATTATTGCACCTCAGATAACTTTTTGATCTTTACAAAATGCTTTTAATGGGGAAAAAATAAATCTTCCTGGAAGATTGCAAACGGCACCTAAAGCAGTTCTTTGTTTAGAAAGGAAAAACTGATTTTTAAATCTATCAGAAAGTATTTTATAACCAGGTCCATGCTTTATTAACCCAAATAATCACTTAGAGAGATAACATTTATTTCTATATGTCTCATTCACCCCACCATTTTCTTATAGGCATATCTATATTGATGACATCTGGTGTCTAAATATTACCTGTTTCACATGATGAGGGGCAAAGTTCCTAATTGCATTTCTTTCAGCCTAATTACTCTTCACCTGTGCCTCAAACTTACAGGTGTTACTCTTTGGTCTTTAAGAATCAATGCATTGAACATTTGTTTTTCTTCTTTTATCTTTTTTTCTTTAATGTATTTACTAACAGCTGATTTATTTGCAGGAAACTCTGTTGCAGGGACTTGTTTCTAATTTTAGATTTTCATTTTTGCTAGCTTTTTGTCTGTTTACATACCAGAAAAAAAAAATTATGAAAATTTTTTTTTCTTTCATATTCTTGTTTTTACAACATTTTGTAAATTGTTACATTTTATAGTTTTTAAATTCTTTTCCATTTTGACCACAATCCTTTCAATCCTGAAACCATTTTATGAAAATAACCATTGCTGTGGAAATACCATCCCCTCTTTCAATAGCAATACCATCGGCTCTTTCAATAGATGAAGTTTTCTTTCCTTTTCACAGATGAATACACATATATACATTTTCTTTATTGTAGATTGTTAGTTATTTAAAATTAGCATGGTATTTATTAAAGATGATGGGTTTATTTACATATGGATTGACATTTCGGCCTCAGATCAGAATACCTGTGCCCTCTCACTAGGATCAAAATGTGTTCATTGCTGGCACTTGCACTTAGTATCAGAGGGGTATCTATACACACTGTGAGAAGTTTATATCTTTTTGTACACATTCATACCTATCATGTTTTATATATATGTTGGGTTTTTTGGGGTTTTTTTTTTTTTCAACTCACTACAAGAAACTCTCACTTTTGGAATGATAAATGTATTTTCTATTATTATCTAACACACATGAAAATGAAGAATACTGTAGCTTTCTAACTAATTTACTAATTCATAAGAGTTTACAAGCATTATGTACAGTAAATTAGTAGTTTACCAACTCTGATATTATTACTCCCCCCCGCAAAAATAAAAAACACAACAGAAAAACAATCTTTGATTTAAAATTAAACAAACATCTAGTGCTACATAACCAATAGAAATAATGATATATACAAACATATCTGATGTCATTCTTTGTCTGCATTTTTCTTTGCATTTTTAAAAGTTTGTTTCATTTTAACTGGTTAAACATCTACTTCATTGTCCATTTATCTATGTATTTTCTGCCAAAATTGTTTCTATATTGCTAATTAAAAAAAGATCCTGACAATCATTTCTATTTTTATTTGATTTTTATTTATATTATTTTATTTATTTTGAACTCCATGTTTCATTCTTTAGTATCATTGAATGGCGTTCACTTTCATTAATTGTATGGTTCTGTTGGGGAAGGAAACGCTGATGAAGATAATGTTGGCTATTTTACAAAAGTGCTCTATCCCATTAGCCCATGCCAGGCTCATCATCAAGCTGTATCAATTTAAGGCTTTTAAAAATGAAAACAATATCATAAACCTCTTGGTCCACAAACTCAAAACAAGTACCTTTCTGCTAAAATACCTGTCAATGATTACAGTTTTAGACTTTAATGGAATTATTATTGAAGAAACATTATTTTAAAAAAATGAATTTTTAAAATACATTTCATATATTTTTAAATCTCAATACCAAAGGCTAGCTTTCTACATTAAAAGAAAATGAAAATTGTAGAATTTATTACCTTTTCAAGATATATATTTTTTCTTTTTTAGTAATTCATATGGATTTTTGTTTGTATTTGATTGGCATATTTTTCTCTTTAATTCTTTAAATGTTGTTAGCAATTTATCTATCTTTTGATATAACCAGGCTTCCTTTTCTAAAATTTCCCATTTTAGTTTGATCATTAGTGGGACTATATGACTAACTTGTAGGTTTTCCTACTAAAGTCAGAAGTAGAATTTGTAGATAAGTCATTTATACTTGGTGTTTGTAGTGTTTTATTTCCAATATATATATATATATATATATATATATATATATATATATATATATATATATATATATACTTACATACAAAGCAGAAGTATCCAAATTTCCTTGCATTGATGTATATTAAGGGTTTGCCCAGATGGCCACATCACTATTGTTTTTAACACTTGAAATTTTCTCACTGCATTGACATAACACAGACTGGAAGAATAATAATATACCTTAAACCTAGCAGTTCCTTATTTCTTTCACTCCACTCCTCTCCCAACCACTTGCTACCCTCTTCTGTGGCATCTTCCCTTCTAAGTATTATCTGTGCATATTCCTGACTGGTGTGCCTCTCTAGGCTATGAAGACAAATATAGACACAAGAACACAATAAGTAGGCCACTTAATATTCTTCCTCTATGTTATATACTGAGAGTGCAAATAATAAAAACAATGATGTTGATAATGGTTGTTATTGTTATTGTTATTATTATTATTATTATTATTATTATTATAATTATTATTATAATGATGATGTTGGTTGTTTTCATACAAGTAGGAATAGTTATAATTAATGATTAGTCACCATAATTTTGTCTTTGTACTGAGTGTAATAATGATAGTATTTTTATTAATAATAGTAATGATTATGTTTACACTAAAAAAATATTGTATAATTGTCATATTCATAATAGCAATAGTTATATTTCTTGCTGTCATTTTGAATGGATAACCTGGATCTTCTCTGGGGATTTATATTTCTGATTAGTGAAAGAAACTGTCACAAAACTATAAGCTGATTTTGAAGCAAGCAGAATACAGGGAATTTTGGTTTTATGTTTTCAGGAGATTGGCATGAAATAGCATGCTCAGCAACTATAATTTGAAAATGCTTTGTCATTTTCCGATGTCCTATTTCTTAAATAATTTCCTGCTTCCTGTAAGAATGGAATTTTTTTTTGATTAAGGAAGAAGAAAAAAAAATGAACGATTATAAAAAATAAAAAAATGCCAGAAAAACTTTGATGTAAAATTTAAAAAAAAAGTATGTATGGATTGAGATTATACTACAAAAATGACAGAAAAAGCAAAATAATTATTTTGCTCTTATTATGAATATGACAATTATGCAGTTGTTAAGGCTTATCATTAAAATGGAGCAGTGTTAGGGTGTTTTCCAAATTTTAAAATTAATATAAATATTAAATCTTTAATGAATATTCAGAATATATTTAAAACTTTATATGATACACACAAACTATTAAGGATGAATTAAAATGCCTAATTGAACAAAAAGTATTTGTAAAATTTCTGAAAATCATCTGAGCATGAATATATCAATTTGAACTGCCTACAGAATGTATACATTTCTGCCACACTGCTTCCTAACTGAAAAGGTAAAACGTTGTACTTTTAACACATGCCCCTTTTTAAAATATGAAAGAAAATGGGCTTTCAATTTCTTTCTAATTTATCTAACTTGGATTTTGTAAGTACAAGTCTGACCACAACAAAATTTGAAAATGCAAAAGGTTAGTTACTCCTTATAATTTCCATTAAGGAGTGGTTTGTTAACTTTAGTGTTATCATTAAATCTTAATTTTTTTTCTTCCCATTATTGTCTAAAGTAGCACATTGAATCTTTATGATTCATGATTCAGATGAGATAAAAAGTAAGCTTAATACAAAAACGTTTCCTATGGTAAAAATTATATGCTAATTTTGTAAAAGTTTTGTTTTTGCTAATTCTACAAACTAATGGCAATGGGGTTGGTGTTTTTTTTTTTTTTTTTTTTTTTTTTTTAGCATTTATTTCCCCCTCCCCACTTGTTTAAAATTTGACTTGTTTTCTTCTTGCCACCTGAGCTACCCCACTTGCACCCAAGTTCCCCAGCCAACCCCATTCTCCCTACTCCAACCTCACCCTCTCTAGTCTATCAATCAAGTTTGATTGATATGGCTTTGGCGGACAGGCAGGCAGGTGGCTGGCAGGAAGGTGGGCTTGCTGGCTGGCCTGGTGTGTGTAGTGTGACCCAGTTTTGTGAGTGATGCACTTTCCATCTCTCTCTCTCTCTCTCTCTCTTTCTGCCTTGTTGCCAGCATCACAACCAGCCATGGCTGCTGCAGTAGTGGCAGCATCAGGATGAGGAAGAGGAGAAATAAACATCAGCATTTAGAACTTCTCTCTTTCTTGCTCATCTATCCTTTATATGATGCTAGTCAGGCTACTTTCTTCACCTTTATCACCACCACCATCATCATCATCATCATTCATCACCTTCTTTCTTTTCTATCTATCTTTCTTTACCACCTCCTCCTTTACTCTAGTTACTGTTGTCTCTCACATGCCTCACTTTGAGACTCAGCCTCTGACTTCTTCATGAATTTCCTGCTCTTTCCAATGAAATTATATTCTTTAATAGGCAATCTGGAAGTTCTTTGCAGTTCCCTTCCCTTATCCACTGCTGAAGTTGAAAATGGTAAAAATGATTCAACCACATTTCATATTACTAAATTACAACATCACATCATCATAATCATTGATAACAATAATTTTCCTGATAATTTTCTGTTAGTCTTCATTGAGCCTCTCTTATACATCTTACTAGTAATCTAGATAGCAATAAAAACAAGCAAAAGAATAAATTTGGTTGAATAAAAATTTGATTTTTAAATTTTACTAATGTTTACTCTCATTATATGTGTATTAAGTTAAAACATTTTATGCTTAATAAAATTGTTATTAAAAAAATCTTTGCAATGCTATATACAAGTTATAAGTTTAAATCTTATCAAAAGCTAATTTCTTCAAAATTTCTATAACCTATTTGGTTTTATATTATACATGACTCAACCCACTTCCCCAAATAAACAAACATTAGAATTTTTTTTGAATCCCTTCTTAGTCAGGTTTATAACTTTTCAGCAATCACTTATTTTATCTCTGTCTCTTAATAGTTGTGACATTTGCATATATGTCTTTTTATACTAAATGTAATAACTATTATGGGACAGAAGCAATCCTATATAATAAAAAAAAAAAAATCTCAGGATTATTTACTTTTGCCCCAGGGCCAATGGAGTATCTGTTTTATGTGAAAAGATGCACATACACACACATGACTTATTACTATAAAAGTTACATTTAGAGAATACTCTTTTTTTTTTTTTTTCCAACAGTGAAAAAATTGTTATCTACCAGCCTGGGTTTTTGAGAGCCTTTAATAAATTAATGGTCACTTTGGCTGAGTTTGATCCTGCATCTCTCTTATGTAGGGGGAAACTGCCAATGCACAGTGTGTGTGTTTGGGATGGGGTGAGGGTCAATAACGGATGTGTGGGTGACATATTGGTTATTGGCATAGGCATTCAAATTGTGACTGCTGCTGTTGCATTTACTTCATACTAAAGTCCTTAGGAAATGCATGAATTTATTTCTTTCCCCTCTAGCTATAGGTTAAATTGAGTGGAGTGTGGGTTCTTTAGTTATAGGAGGGCAGCCAGCCTAGAAGGCTAAAATTGAATTCAAATCTCTCTGCCAACATGTCATGGGTCAGCACAGAAGTGTAAGGAACATTATTTATCATGTTTGATAAATTTGAGGAGACCAACATTCTTTTTTTTTTACTTTATTTTGATTTCTGTGTGTGTGTGAGAGAGAGAGAGAATATGCTTTTTCTGATTTTTCTAACCCATTAAGTACCATACCTAGTTTTATTTACAATAGCAAGCATTGTTTTTTTTTGTTTGTTTTTTATTTAAGTGAGAATTTTTCCATTCTTGCCTACAAATTTAAAATTTATTTTTCAATTCTTTAATTTTATAAAATTGTAAATAAAACACATAATTTTTCTATTGCTTTATAACATATATATAAGAATTTTTTTTTTTTTTCTATTAATGATAGTGTGAATTTTTGTCTAGGAGATAAATCCTTAATAGCCCAGTTTCCAGTTGAATTGAAGCTCAAATTTAAAATTTCATCTCCTCATTACTCATCAGTATTGCGTAGCCTATGAAATCTAAAGGGAAATGTATCAGCTGGTCCTCATGACATATCATTTTGAGCATTCAGGATATGGAAGAAAAGCTCATTTCCCCTTTCTCAAGTTCTGACAGCTTCCACATTTGATACAGGTAACCATTAATCAATCAGCTCACCTTTAAGGTTGCTGCCTGTGTCACTCTTTACCATCATCCCAACATCATCAATTTCCTCTTCCTCCCTCTCCTTCATCTTTTGATCTATTAGAAAAAAAAATCCGAACCTCCTCCACATATACCTTATCAAAATGATAGTGATTTCTGAATAGTGATTTATTTTTTAAAAAATTAGTTTGTCTTCTGAGCTACAAAATGTGGTCTATATCAGTTTTCTAAGTTCTTGAAATATGCATTTTCTTTCTTTTTTTATAGTCTTAGAACAAAAAACAAATATTTGTTAGACATTTGAATTAAATATTCAGATCTGACTAAAATACATCTAACCAATCAAACTTAATCTGGAAAAGATTTTATTCAGAGATTAACAGAAATTTACAAAATTTTTATTGTTTGTATAATCAAACTTGAGTAATCACAAAAAAAATTAACATATATCAAACAAACTTTAAGAATCCCATGCCTGATGATTTGCATAGTTATTTATATCATTAATGATGAACAAATAGTGAAATATTTTAATTTAAGAAATCTTACTCACTAGAAGAATCCAAACTTAATACTAGAATAGAATATCCAAAGACTGATATTTAATTATATAATTATGGCCTTGTTATTTCAATATTTGTTTTATCATAATTGTTTAACTATTGCTATTGGTAACTATCAAAGTATCAAGAAACTCAGTCAGGTTCTGTTCTCAGAAGTTCATCACAACAAATGAACCATGTCTTCATAGCACTGAGTGTTGATCTTATTATCTCTGCTTTGCACAGTGTATTGTTTCTATTCTGGAATTATAAGTTTTTTGTTGTCCTAATTATTTTAATCTTTTTTTTTTTAAGTAAACCTGCTAAGAGAAAGCATAGATTATGTCACTTAAGCATTGATCATTTTAAAGTTATTAGGATCATAGAAGTAAGCTCTCTGACTTTTTAAAATAATCTTTGTAAAATACTTACAAAAAGAAAACTTCATTAGATAATTTTTTAAATTATAAAAATTATTATTTCTCTGTTGATTGTTGCAGAAAGCAGTTATGCAAATCACATCAGTTTGTAAATATTTATTAACTCTTAAGGTTGAACAAAAAATAGTACATTGATAATTTTTCAAAATAAGACCATTATATCCAGTAAAATGAATTAATAAGAAAGAAATTTTTACTCATGAAATGCATGTTATATAACCATTTTAAAATTGTCATTGAGAGAATGGAAAATGCTCTTTTCACTCTGTTTTTTCTAATTTGTTTTATGATTCTTTATTTTTACATGTTTTTTATTCTTTGATAATTTTGCAGTCTTAGAAAAGATTAAAAAGAAAAACACATCAAGTTAGAAAGTTATCCTCCCCACAAAAAAAAGAAAAAAAAAACTGCCCATATTTATACAGCAACATCCCAACTGGAAAGTACTTTCTCTTTTCCATATTTACATCTTCTTCTGTTAGATATATATTCCCTTCAGTTGCAGCTGACATAGTGAATCATATCTCTATACAAGTGCGCACATACACTCAAATACTCATGTTATTTGTATACATACTTTTTACTTGAACAGAACAAGAAAGAGAGAAAGGTGTTTGTGACAAAATCTCTAAACACTGAGATTTGTGGCTGACAAATCCTTACTATTCCCAGTTGCTAGTCATGAAGAGTGGCCATTTAGACAAGACTTGCAATGAGTAAATATACTGGCGACAGTTTGGCACCATTCTGCTTAGACAAATCCGAGAGCTATTCCTCATGGCATAGAACACTGTGAGCTATGAAAACAAACCTTTTTTTCTTCATGTGACAAGTGGTTTTACAATCTTGTTTCCCCATAGGACTTGAATATTCCTAGAAAAAAAAAAATTCTCCCCAAAAAACTTATGGTCAACTCTTTGGCAGGTGTATAATCTTTGTCATGTATTGTATACACAATCAGCTTCATTTAAAACTCATATCAAAACTGAACCACTTTGAAAACAACATTTGCATAAAAAGATTTCTTTTTACTTGTAATGTGGCCATTGTTCCTCATAGTTTCTCCTTTCTTTGAGTTCTTAGTTTCAATTTTTCCTTTTTTAAGTTTATTTCTTTTTATTCATTTTGCTTTTAATTTTAATTGTTAGAAAATTGAATGCCAGTTTTTTTAATTCTTTTTTCTTTTTCTTACAATTAACTTTTAACTTTTGTAAAAGTTATTTGGAACCACATTTCTGAATATCACTCCCTTAGCAATTGGTTAGGCAAGATTATTATTAGTAGTAAGAGTAGTATTTTACCTTTATATGATTAAAAACATTCTAAATGCTTGCATTCTTTTTCTCTCTTTCTATAATCTGAAATGTTTTGAAAACCAGAATTGATTTAAAACAAATGTTGTCAACATTGTTTTTATCTTAATTTCTTTTTCTACGCCTACAAACATCACTTAAGTATCGACAAATTATCAGTTTCTGTGGTTCTACTTAAGTTTAAAACTGCTTTTGATATTCAATATTTATTTTACCATGTTAATGCCTAAATGGTCTCAGCATTAAATATTCTTTCTTTTAAGCTTTTGTGGAATACTGTATTTTGTTATTATATCATAAACTTTAAAAAAAAAATAATGACAAACTTTAAGCAAAGGCAATTGAATTAAGGCTGTTTATTATGCTAATAAGCTCTTACAAGTTTATTTTGTTGGAACTTGAGTTCTTTAACAAGTTCTTTTTAAATGAAGCAGCAACAGTTTTTTTCCCATTTTTATATTGCATAATTTAAATATTTATTTTCTTTTGTTTTTCATTACCTATTATAAAAATCTTGTAATATACATACTTTTAGTTAATGTCATTTCTGCCCATAAAAAAGTGAAGAAAATGAAGAAATAGCTAAAAATCAAGAAAATTAACTGTATTTAAAGCAATGAAGCAATACTAATTTTAAAATTTGGCTTGAGCTTATATCTTAGATTATTGTGTGTTTAGGCACTGTTGGTTGATAGCATTTTTGGACCAATCTGTAATCTTTTTTTTTTTTCTTTTTTTTTTATTATACAAAGAGTTAAGTTGGAATTATTATTCCAAACAGTATGTAAAAACACAACTGAATGACTGCTATCTACACATCATTAATAGTATCATATAAGTAAAAAGCTAAGTGAAATCTGAAGTGCAGAAAAATGCCTTGTATAATAAATCATTGAGAGAATCTATCTCTTTAAACAAATTTGCCTTTACACTCATGTTGTTTAATATGTTTGTAATTATTTTTCTCTAAGATATGAAATATTTTAAATTGGTTTAAGACTACTTATATATCTTTTTTTAATGAAAGAACTATTGGTGCCTGTAATTTGCTGCATGGGACAGTAAACAGTGGATAGAATTTATGGTTCCATTGTATTGTTAGCACCAATTTCTATGTGAATCCCAAAGTTAAGTAGTATTTTATTTTGAGGAAGAATAATTGGGTCAAGTCATCAGTTTGCTGAAATTTCAGTATTTGCTTTCAAGAACAAATGTCCAAAGTCCTGGCTAAAAAATCACACTTTTTTTTTATTTTTATTTATATAACTAGATTATCCACTTTGTATTGAAGATGGCTATTAATATGCAATACATTTTCTGCTATTGTCACTTACAGTGCAGCATATTCTTGTTTCACTCATCTTGCATCATTTTCCTTTTTCCTGTTTGTAAATAATTATCTCACAAGTTGATTATTGTGAGTAATTTTCAGTTTAATATGCTGTAAAATTTATTGAAAGTGTCTCTTTGTAAAGTTAGTAAGCGAGTTTGCTATTGAGAGCTAATGTTGTGCTAATATATTTTATGTATTTACTTTGTTTTAAACAAGATCAAGGATCCTGTATCAGAAGTCAAAATTAAATTTTATTAGTTCTTGGAAGTTTTTGTAAAAAAACAGGTTAATTATTGGGGATACTTTGGTTATGATAATATTTCTTTTTATTTTAGATTAATTTAATCTTTTATCACTTGGTTCTGCAACTGTTTGGGACATTGTAACTTTAGTCTTGTTTTAGTTCTTTGTTCTGTTGCTACAAATATTTGCTTTTGCATTCTTTTTAAAAAGGAAAGAAATTGAATATTTAACCAAAAAAATTTGTTAAACACTGACTTTGCTCAGAACAGTTTTTTTAATTTTTTTTCAAAGTTCTACAATAGTTTTGGCTTTACACCAATTTCAATTTTTTTTCTAAACATTCTTGGATTTTATTAAAAACATTTAATGAAAATCAGCATAAAAATCTTTTACAAGTTTAGCGAACTGAACTTAGTTCTATGAATAAATAAGAATTCCTTTATATAATGGCTTCTATAGTACATCAGAAGATGGGTGAAGAATCAGTAAATTGAAATGTGGTAATATCATCATCATCATCAGCAGCAGCAGCATAAAGTTTGGTTTAGTTTGTTTAATGGCATATCAACTATTTATGAGTCATTTGATAACAAAATTTAATTTCCTTGGGAACTTTAAGTTTTTTTTGTTTTTTTGCTATTAAAATCCATTGATGAAAATAGTTTTTTTTTACTATTAAAATCTATTGCTAGAAATTTTTACTATAAAAATGTATTTTTATACTTTCATGCTATTTTGTCACCAGTTTGTGGGTTCACTATTTACCCATAGCTGGGACCTTAACAGGTTCTACTACCCTGGGTCAGGGTGAACCTGTGAGCAACTGCAATTAAGAGTTGGTTCCACTCTCCTCAAAATCTCCTGATCAGAGGCCTTGCTGTTGGATGTCGTTTATCATACTATCCAGGATGTAGCAGCATAAAGAATTAGTTTAATTGCTCAAACAAATCTTAAAATCTTTGATTCTTTTTAAAGGAATACTATAACTTTAACAAATCTTTAAAACAATATGAAACTCATTATTAAGTTTACTATATGTCAAAGTAGATTTTATTTCACCCTTACATGAAATCAGTCTATCCAGTTTGAACAAAACAAATTAATGAACTATTTTGACCTTGGCCCTATTTGGTGCTTTAAAAAGTAAGTTTTCCATTAGAGTTCTGTAGTCTATACAATGTCACCTAGGTAATCTGAAATATGTGCATGTCTTGCTTGGCCAAAAGAAATATATGATGGTCATATGTTTTTACTCTTTTCAGCTGATGGCTTTAATAGAATATTTGGGACATTATCTTATAATTCTTTGCTCAGATATTATGGGTTGATTAGTTTTCTATATATTAGCAAATTTGGTCATAAGTTTTTGATATATTTCAATACATGGCTGATATTGGTTGCATATTATATCTTTGATTGATTTCTATATATTTACACATTGGTCACAGGTTAACTTTGAAATAATTTCATACATTAGAAATATACTTGTGAGCTTATATTTTAACTTTATTTTTGTTTTGTTTAGCTATTAATAAAGTTTAACTATGATTTATGTTTTTCATTTGTTAGTTACAAGTTTGGTTTGTAGGTACATTAGTGTTTGTGTTTAAGTGTGAGCATCTGTGCCTTTGTAGTCTGTCTGTTAGGACCATCAAAAGAAGTAATTGTACACTACCATTAGCTTAGTTGTTGCCTGGATGAAGGAAAGAATTAAAGCATGCCTATGTAACTATGTGCTACCTTCAAGCCAGTTAACATGCAGCTGCAGGCTGGCACATCGAATTTTACAAGACCAGATGCTGTGTACTCTGGCAAGGGTGGGTACACATATCTTCTTTTTGCCATTAATTACATTTATTGATTGAGTTAGGGCAAACGAAGAAGAAAGCAACTTTTTGGTAAACTTGTTTTAACAATACTGGGACACTTTGAACATTTACACCCACTCTGCCCCTCTCTCTTTTTATTTTCATCATTCTTTATTTTATTTTATTTTTTGTTTGTTTCTAGCACTTTTACTTTTCTTATTTTTTCTTTCTCTTTCTTTATATTATTGTGATGTTTATCTTTTCTTTTTCCTCCTTTCATTTTATTTCTCATTTCTAGATACTTTTACTTATCTATTTATATCTTTATATTTAATTCTTTTTAACTGTTCATTTCTTTCTACATGCTTTCATTTTGTTCTTTTTTCTTTTTTGAATATTTCTTTTACTTTCACTTTGTCTTTCACTTTTTTACATATGTAACTTTCACTTTTTGTTTCACTTTCTTCTTTACATGTTACTTTCACTTTCTGCTTGTCAACTTCATTATCTCTCTTTTTCCTCAGTTGATCCATATATATCACCACTTTTTCTGCTACTTTCTTAACACATTTTCCTTCTTTTTACACTTTATGCTTGTCGTATCTTTTTGCTAATTTATTCTTTTATTCACTCTTTGAACTTTTCTTTCTCCTTTTTTACAAATGCCTCAACCCAATTTTGCTTTGTTTTCTCTCTCTCTCTCTGTCTGTCTGTCTGTCTGTCTCTCTCTCTCATCATATATATATATATATATATATATATATATATATATATATATATATTCTTCTCTGTCTTTTTGTATATTTTTCTCTTTCTCATCTACTTTCTGCCTCTCACTTCCTTTCTTTCTATTTTTATCAGCCATGTTCAGGACATCAAGTTTCTGCCAACTGATCTACTGATCCCCATCCTGTCACCCACATGCAGCTTACTGTATTTGCAGCCAAAACTCTGCAACTGCATCATACATATATATATACACACACACACACACACACGTCAGGTTGTCTGCTGAGATTTTTTCTTCACATCACCTTGTATTGAATGATAACTCGACAACGGTTTCCATGTTGCAGGGAAAATAGACCTATTTCTCTTACCCATTCTATCTTTTTACCTACCTTATACGCTTTCTATCTGCTTACCTATCTACCCATCTTTGGGCTTGGCTATCTGCCCCATTTTTTTCTACGCACATATACATCCAGTTATCCATTAACTTGTTTTATTACAATGTTGTTAGAAATGACTTTTTTTTTCTTTAAACATCATGTTTGTAATATTTTAGGATTTTATGAGTGGAGAGTATTTTGATCAGAATGCAATTATTATTCAATTACATTTGCACTAATGTCCTTGGGAAAGGTATGGATCTTTTTCTTTTTTTTCTCCCAGCTATATGGATTAAATAGTCAGGTAGACTGAAGTCTCCCTACTTGAGTAGCAACCAGTCTAAGAAAAAGAAAAGTCTGAATTCCAAACCATATAGAAGGTAACAGGAAACCATTCTACTGTCTTTCCCCAGAATGCATGGCAGTTCATTGATGATGATGATGATAATAAAAACGGAATCAGTGGAGAGTCATGATTACCTACATTCTAAAGTTACATGGCATTAAATTAATTAAAAAAACAAAACAATTTGACTCGTATTGCTGTTGTCTTAGAGATAATATTAAATCCGGTTCCACTGACAATAACATTATTTCAGTTAAAGTCACACATGTATTCAAAATCTACCCTTAATATAAATCATAATTCATCTGTCACTCCGTTTTTTTTCTTCTCTGTCTGTCTGCTTGTTTGTCTCTGTGCATGTGTATTATATCAAATGTCTGCATGTATTTCACACATATCTCTGCGCTAACACACATGTATATAATTTTTAAAAAGTTATCATAGAATTAATGCTAGTGCTTCGGATAGGTGGAGGGTTATAATGTTTGGCAGTGGAGTGGGGTTGGTAGTGCACAGTTATTGAACTCCAATGAACTTGCCATGCATCTAGGCTGGTTTCTTGCTGTGATGGTGGTGCTTCTGTGCATCTTTCTGTTATTAATGCATTACCAGCCAACTAATTGCGTCCTGACAGATTCCAATGTCAGCATGGAACAAGCTGCATACTATGCTCTTTCCTCTTAGTAGTATCCCACTGCTGTATCACTGCAGCTGCCGCTGCTTGTATCTCCGCTGCTACCACTAGTGAGTGATGCTAACAGTACTGTTATAAGAATGCTCAAGATGGTGGTGGAGGTAGAGCTATTGCTGCTGCTGCTGCTGCTGGTTGGTGATAGTTATAGTGATGAGGGTGATGTTGCTGGCCCACGCCCTCTGACCTTGTCAAAGCTATTGATTCACTCTGTGTAAACATGTTACCTGCTGAAATATGAACTCAGCTACACCCCACGCACACACTCAGTAGAAAAAGGATCCTGTTAGCTATGACGTAATTGTTAGAAGTTTTGTATCTTACTGACCTTGAGATACATGAAGATTTATCTCCCTACTATTTTTTTTTTATTGTGACCTTATTTAGTTAAACCACAACCTGCCTTTCAAAATATCACTAGCACCGAATATATTTTTGTTATGTACTATATAAGTGTAAATGTAGCAGGACACTCATTTATTTAGAGGTTATTATTGCTAAAGTATTTTTTTATATGGATGAAATTTTTTAAAAATATTGAAACTGCAGGGTAGCATTTGGAAAATTTTGCATATAAAAAATAATTGCAAGTCAGTTGTCATTAGTGTTTTTTATTTTTTTATATTAATTTTTTAAACTTTTTTCCTCCTCATTCATTGACAAATTTCTTCTTGCTATGATTCAATGAAGAGTATCAGTCAGACTTAACCTTTGAATTGGTTCCCAAAAATGAGGAAAAGTTATGTAAAAAGATTAAAAGTGGGTCTGATTAAGAGGATTTCTCACCAGTTACTTTTCTAGAACTATTAAAATCTCATGGCCTATGGCCAACTAACATTGTAACCTATTAACTTATAATTTATAAGAATTAAAAAAACAATAGGGACCAATTATAAACATTCTCACCTTGCATTATAGACTACTTCTTCATGATCCAACTAAGCTTCTTTAATTTAAAATTTCTTGGGTTTGTGAAAACAAAATAAACAGAGATAGGAAGTTTTAGAATTTGACAAGGAATTACCTTCATTATACACATATTTGCTTGAAGTCTTTATCTTCAGTTTTAGTGTCACAATATCTCAGCCATTGTGTCCTCTGGCTTTCTTCAACCTGAGGACATTAGTCTCATCAAATCAATGTATTATGGTTGAGAGCATCAAATTTTAATATAAGAAACGCCTTTTGAATGTGATTTTTTTTCTGACTGACAGGTATATTTGGTATGACAAAAAAACTCAACCCCCCCAAAAAATGTCTTTTGCTTTAAATATTTATTATAGTGAAATGAATTTCTCACACACACACACATATATATATATATATATATATATATATATATATATATATATATATATATAATGGGTGAATGAAAAGTAACTCCCTATTTTATGTATGAGTGAGCAGCTAGCAGTCCTGACTTATCAATGTATGATTTTTTTTTTTCTTTGGGGTTGGTTAAAGGAGCAAGTCCTGAAACCAAGACTTTGGAAAAACTTGAAGGCAAATCCAAGAAGTTATGTCTTTCATACCACAAGAGATCCTGGTGAAATCAATTGACGAATTCCTGGGCGGCTCAAGATGCTGGTATCAAAATCTGGTGTCCATATCAAATTTTAAATATGCTGGTATCAAAATCTGGTGTCCATATCAAATTTTAAATAAAACCTCATGCTTTCCTCTCATATCTGTTGTAAAAATTATAGTTAATAAATAAATTATAAGTATTTTTAAATGGGTAGTTACTTTTCAATTACTGTGTGTATGTATATATATATATATATATATATATATATATATATATATATATATATATATATATATATGTGTGTGTGTATATATGCAGAAACTGCCCAGTCTTCATAGAGTACAAAAGTGTCCCCACGCCCTTGTAAGTGACAAATTATTTTCCACCCTACAACCTCTTTTTCACAGACAAAATGTTGCAAGCCTCCTGTTACTCTATCACTATTTCTATGAAAAGTGCTCAGACGAATTTCATTCCTTAGTTTCACCAGTTCTAAATTTCACGGCAAAGACCCGACATGCCATGCCCATTGTACCAAGCCACCCTCATTTCCATCATATTCCATTGGTGAGATGTGAGTTCCATTCAAATAATTTCTTTCCACAAACTGCTGTTTTGTGGAACTGAATCCCAAGATGATGTTTCTCCACTCATTACAATCTTAACCTATTCCAGTCTGGGGTTAACAGCTATCTTCCCCACATAGCTGCATAAAGTGTGCCTGTTACTCAGTAACCCTGTACCTTGAGTAGCTCTTGGGCCTTGCACAGGGTGAACATCATTGTGAAATAATACAAATAAAATTTGTCACTTAGCTGATTGATGTTATATTCAGCACTAAGTTGATACAGAAGATTTGATTTCTAAATTATTTAATTAGGATGCTGAACATTCAAGATCTCAGAAAAATATTATGGGCATGAAATATTATAAATTGAAAAGGTTTACTCATGAAATATTATAAATTGAAAAGGTTTTCTTTCAGACAGTCAAAAATGATGACAATTCTTCTTTTCCTGGCTATTTAAGATATTTACTATATTAATGCACTGATCAGAAAATTTGTGAAATTTATCCCAGTGTCTTTAAACTGATTTGTAGTCTCATTAACTGGGAGTATAACATGATTGACAAGTGAACTTAGATGACTTCCCCTTTTTTAATCTGCATTGTTTATTTAATCATCTCATAATTATTGTTGGCTATTCTCTGGTTAATGGATTTAGACATCAGCACTCATATTCTGACATTTACTAATTGTTGATACTTATGTGATAAATAAGGTATTAATCCATTTTTCATACATGTTTTTATCCTTTCAATTCAAGGGTGAAAATGTATTTCTTTTTCTATGTATGGATCAACTTGTGTTTACATTTCTTTGAATTAATACTACTTAATTCTTTTGCTTTCATTTTAAATGTCACCTATCTCATCACTCTTATTATTGCTCCTACTATCGTCACTACCATTTGTAGCTACTACTTTTGATTTTTTTTTTTTTTTTTTTTTTGTCCTCTGGGGATGGGAGTGAACCACAGATGACTCTAAACATTTTATTTTTAACCAAGACAAGAGATTTTTGATGCAGATATTAACCTTATACTTTTAAAATTTGTTTGGTCTAAGATATTGTCACATAAAAAACATGATTTGTTATGATTAATAAAGTATTTAACATGTTCAAAATGCTCCTCCTTCATGTTCAATACAATGGTGTACCCTATCAGCAACTAGTCTTGGATATGACAATAAATTACATTCTGTAGCAAAGCCTGTGATTGAGAGATTGAAGGTTTTGAGGAGTGTGGGGACCACATCTTAATTGCTGACCCATGGTGGTAGCACCTGTTAGAGTCCCAGCTATGGGCAAATAGGGAACTCCCAAAGAAAACAAAATGCTATGAAAGTATAAAAATACA